TATCAGTTTACTTGAGAATATGCAATTCTAGATTAATAGTTTGTACTGAATTATATCAGAAATACGTACTACCACGTTGCTCTAAGACACAAATAAAAATTAAGTAGTGTATTTTGATACACTAAAAAAAAATGATATTACAGACCATGTACAAGAAGGCGTTTCGCGACGGGTAGATTTCTGCGTCAAAGTGACATGTTTGTTACACTTATGTTATGTCTTATATTGACTTTGCCGACGGGATCGCCCGAGGGTTATTCAATACATAGAGTCATTTATCTAATTGCAGAGTCTTGCTTAGAGTCTTAATAACTAAATTCTACAATATTAATAAATAGTTAATCTTTGATTTTCAATTTTTATTAATACAAAGTCGAGTCACTTTTATTGCAAAATGAAATGAAAAAGAATAAAAGAGAAGTAGCCCGTTAGAAGAGCAAAAAGTAATAATTATTTTAGTTAGGATTTTCAGGATAATTATTCCGTGTTCGTTGCTCGAACCCTTTCACGTGCCCAGGTGCTACTTGGTTGGGCGAGAGCAACGGGGAACGATGACTTGATTTCATATAATAATAACATGTCTATGCGACTGGCAATGCGTTAGCTTACCGTGCACGACGTATTTTCCACTTATGTGTGTGTGTGATTAGGCAGTGGAATTGCGTCGTTTAGATTTCTATCAATTAACATTTCATCTGTAATTGTTCCGTGGAACAATTTCGCACAATTTCCGGTATCGGTCGTACATATTCCTTTGCTTTATACAATGTTTATAATAAAATTTCCATGGAATATGTACCGGTTTAGAGTATCTCGCTATCAGACGAGAAAATTAACGCGTAATCGATATAAAGTGTACCAAGTATACGTATATTGCTTAAACAATTTTTCTATTCTCGCAATGGATGCTAGCCTTTGCCAGTCGATTTCAGGAAAATGGTACGTACATTAGAGTGTGCAAGTTGAATATCACGTTCGGGTGTCGGAGGCGTCCCGGGACGTCCTCTCTAGGTGTCCGGTTGATTTGCACCCGGGCGCATGCTTGAGAACCGTGGAGTGTTGTGTGTTGGTGAGAATCTGTCTTTTGCCAAATTCTTTTTAAATATAGGGCTAGGTAGGCAGGTAGCATACTTTCTGGTGTGTGAATGTGTGCGAGTAGGCTGTAAGTAGGTAGGGACCGGGGCAGGCTATCACATTCTCCGATGGGGTAGGCTCGCGTAGGCTCGCGTAGGTTTCGCGTGATAGTCCTGCTACCGGGATAATTTGTAGCGTCGATTCGAAACTGGTCCAGACGGAGCATGCTGTCTGCTTCCGATTTCGATTTCGATTCTTCAAATTCGGCGAACCCCAAGGGGGTCGTCGTCGCGGTCGCGGTCGGAAGGATAGGATTGTCGAAACGAACGACCTGCTCGATTGCACTCGTGGTACGATCATACAGACTCTTCGAGTCGTTGGTCGTCCACAACCGAGCAGCATTAGGGTTTCAGGGGGCGGACCGCCGAAGAAAAGAAGAGGCCCAGCACAAACTGTGTACTCAAGAGGGCAGCAACGAATGGCTCTGCATCTTCGGATGTGGAGTCATTACTAAATATTTGTTCACTGTACTCGCCTGTAATTGTAGTAGTAGTTTGTATATTGGCCGTCATATCGGCCCAACGACCAGCAATATTGGGCAAAATCGCGGATTGAATTAGTGTTGCGGATGAGACTAGATCACGGGTTGCATTAGCTTTGTAAATTGTCAATATTAATCTTCCTAATTGCTTGGAGAATAGTGTTGCGAATGATGAGATCGTGTTTGCATTAAGATCATTTTTATATTTTCAGAGTAGTGTTGCGAATGATGAGATCGTGTTTGCATTAAGATCATTTCTTTATTTTCAGGGTAGTGTTGCGAAAATGACTGAGCGCGACTGCTTATTAGTTTTTATTTAAGTCGTTTTCTTTTGTTGAATTAGTGTTGCGATATGAATTGATCGGGTTTGTTTTAGTGTTGCGATCGATGAAATGCCCAATGCTGGAACCACAGCAGAACCACAAGGCAGCTGAAATAGCTGCAATGAGTGGTTCACGACAGCCCAGGTGGCTGCACTAACTGCATCAATCTAAAGTTAGTGTTGCGTATTGCACATTGAAGGTGCACGGGAGTTTTTTTGATTTTTGGATTCAGTAAATTAGAGTGGCGAACAAAGGAGACACTCTAATTATTGACAAATGATTAGTGTTGCGACTGATAAGCGCCTATGTGGCTGCTATTTTTTACTTATTTAGCGCCCTATTGTGGCTGCTATTTTTTACTTGTTTAGCGCCCTATTGTGGCTGCTATTTTTTACTTGTTTAGCGCCCTATTGTGGCTGCTATTTTTTACTTGTTTAGCGCCCTATTGTGGCTGCTATTTTTTACTTGTTTAGCGCCCTATTGTGGCTGCTATTTTTTACTTGTTTAGCGCCCTATTGTGGCTGCTATTTTTTACTTGTTTAGCGCCCTATTGTGGCTGCTATTTTTTACTTGTTTAGCGCCCTATTGTGGCTGCTATTTTTTACTTGTTTAGCGCCCTATTGTGGCTGCTATTTTTTACTTGTTTAGCGCCCTATTGTGGCTGCTATTTTTTACTTGTTTAGCGCCCTATTGTGGCTGCTATTTTTTACTTGTTTAGCGCCCTATTGTGGCTGCTATTTTTTACTTGTTTAGCGCCCTATTGTGGCTGCTATTTTTTACTTGTTTAGCGCCCTATTGTGGCTGCTATTTTTTACTTGTTTAGCGCCCTATTGTGGCTGCTATTTTTTACTTGTTTAGCGCCCTATTGTGGCTGCTATTTTTTACTTGTTTAGCGCCCTATTGTGGCTGCTATTTTTTACTTGTTTAGCGCCCTATTGTGGCTGCTATTTTTTACTTGTTTAGCGCCCTATTGTGGCTGCTATTTTTTACTTGTTTAGCGCCCTATTGTGGCTGCTATTTTTTACTTGTTTAGCGCCCTATTGTGGCTGCTATTTTTTACTTGTTTAGCGCCCTATTGTGGCTGCTATTTTTTACTTGTTTAGCGCCCTATTGTGGCTGCTATTTTTTACTTGTTTAGCGCCCTATTGTGGCTGCTATTTTTTACTTGTTTAGCGCCCTATTGTGGCTGCTATTTTTTACTTGTTTAGCGCCCTATTGTGGCTGCTGTTTTTCTATTTTTGTTGTTATTGTACTGAATTATTATTATTAATTATTGTGCACCAAGTGTTTACATTGAAAATACTGTCGATTAGAATATTTATGTTACTAAACAAAATGTTCTATTTTTAATAATTCTATAAATGTTCGTTACAATTTGTAATACACATTAAAAAATCTATGCATCGACAATGATGATAGATTTGATTAATTATTGACACGTAAAAATTAAAATAAATTTGTAATTAGAGTCCTTAGAAGTGACTATTCGTTGTTAGAGTTGGTGATATATCAATTCTTGAATCGTTATACGTAATTTGCAAAAGCCATTGATATCAAAATAGTGTACATTTGTGTAAATTTTTGGAATGCTGCGAAAATCAAAGTTTTCTCGGGACTGTTGCTGAATGTGATACTAATGAAAAGCTTGCAACTGAAAAAATATGCAAATGCAATTCGATCCTTCATATTGATAGCAAATTTTCAACTAGAGTCGCTCTCAAATTGCTGATACTATCTCTGTACGAAAACAATTTAAATTTCGATACAATAAAATACGATTGTTTCTTGATTTGTACTTTGACACACGGAAAGGTATAGTCATCAGTTAGTCGATAAAAGTTAATTGTATAAAAAGTTAGTGTGTTTATATTCTCCAAAATTTATTCTTGTTTGATTTTTGCACAGAGACGTATTGAATTTTAAATTCAGTCGTTTAACAATTTTTTTAGTTAATTCATTTTTTTATGTTTTGTATACACGATAGAAATGTCTGACACTTTCTTATCCTTTATCTCTACTAACCCCTTCTTTTTCAGCTTTTAATCCAAGGGATCACTTTTTGTTTCAAGTTATTTGCAGAAATTTTGTAGACTGAATCTCTGTTTGCCAGAATGAAGAGTCAACAATCTCAAGAAATTTGATATTATGTTTCTAATCGTTTTAGTTTCTGTTTCAGGAATCCTCGTGGGACCAAATTTTAAATTATTGAATTGAAATGTTGATAAAAACGTATTGTTATATTCTTCTATTCTTATTGTACGTTATATATGTATGTTCTCTTCAATTTCTGTTTCAGAAAGAATCCTAGGATCGAATTAATGCTCGCTAAATTATTCTCAATTATTAACTGTCCACTGATATGATATCATTCACTGAGTTTCTCTTTCAGGAATCATTCTAGAATTAATCTACAAGTTTATCTGAATGAATTATTTATAATCTGTAAAACGTTTTGTTATGATCCTCCCAGTTTCTCATCACCCGAGGATTGTCATGGAGCCGAACGGGTTTAAAAAATAACTGCGTTATTTGAACAATAGTTTCCATGAGAATGGCCAGGTTATCAGTCAGGGGGAAGCAATGCAATTTTTTTCCGTCCAGGGGGGGGGGGGCAACTGCCCCTCCTGGCTACGTCCATGTTAGTTTTAGTTTCTGCGTTGTGTTTAGTTTAAGTTGTTGAGTGTGGCTATATTTCTGTTCAAATTTTCAACTTGTCGAGGGATACGTTGGAGCGAAGAGCGTTCCTAGTGATCAATTAACGGACTCTCAATTATTGGGCTTCTACTGTAATTCACGAATTCACCGTTCTCATAACGTAGAGGACAGCAAAAAATCTCTGACTGTTTGCACGATCGGTATTTTAGAACATGAGACACAAAGTCCCATAAGATGATAAGTCTATTTTCTATCTCGTCTGTGGTATTAGTCTCGCGTCATCCATGTAGCACGAGAAGTGTTTTTAATTGTGTTATTGCATTTTCAAATTACTGTCATCATAATATACTTATCAGGTTAATTTATCATTAAGTATATTTAAATTTAGCATCTTTTGATAAGTGAAAATGTATAAATCAGTTTTTGTTGTTTTCTTCTTAAGTTTATTTATTAACAAAGGTATAACAACAAATTAAGTTACCATTAGTTATGTACAGGGTGTGGTTAATGTCAGTTTTTCTTTATAACACGTTTAATATTTACAGGAGACAGTTTATACTGTTACAGATGTAACAGTAATCATCCTGGGTGTGGCACACCTTTAAATTGGTTATGGTATTGGGGAGAAACTTGTCCAGAATATGATGATAAATGTGTAAAAATTATTGAAAGAAAAGGAGGTATGCAGTATATTGTATGTACATGTTATGTATATTTACCTTAATTTAATTGTTTTGCACATTTCAGCTGAAACAATTATAACACGGGAATGTTTGAGCTCTGTTCGTAGCTTTAGAACAGATATTCCAGCTGATCGGTATGAAGGTTGTCGACCTGCTGCTAAAGATTTTAACTTAGGACATTATGTAAACAATTCCATTCATCAATTAGATATTCATCGAGATTACTATGATGAAGTAACATGGTGTTTTTGTTACTTCGATCATAGATGTAACAGTGCTACTACAGTTACTGTTTCAACAATATTAATGCTTGTAGGTATTGCAGTACAACAATTTACTACCTAAAATTTTTAAACATCACACGAACTCCAAAATATTTGTGTATGTTTGTGCAGATCTTTTCTTTATTGAATTAATTGTTGAAAATTAAATTCAAATCAAATTTTTTTATTCTACTACTGTTTGTAATAATTAATACAGTTGTATATAGTGTAAATAAGTCCTTCAGGCACAAACCATCTTACTGCACAAAATCAGAAATTAGTATAGAATATGAATAACACTCTCACACATAATAATCTTTTTGTGTGATAGAAATGTTGTAGTAATAATAGTCCACAAAAATAGTATTTAAGTTCCAAAAATAATACTATGGAAATTGGATAAGAACAAGGAATTTATACATAACCATAGTACAATAAGGATAAGACATAATTATGACTTATACTTAACATTCATTCCGTCCGAAAATACCTATTGTAATGACGATACAAGAAAGATTGTATTTTTTATATGAGAAAATAATGTAATTTTGTTAGGATGTTTTCACTTACTAAATGTCAATGTAGTTAAGTGTTTGTAAGAGGGTGAATGAAAATAGTGTTGTTAGACTTTATAATGACAAGATAAAGGAATAATTATAATTACAAAATGAATTGTTTGCGATCTAATGTACATTTAATTTTGGCAATTACTTTTTTAATCACCCTCTACTATTTTACTTGTACAATCTACGGACACAAATAATTGTCACTGATTTAGCGTATCGAACTGCCGTCCATTGTTAAAAAAACCAAATTGTTTTAAAATTTATATTAAGTATTAAACATTAATTTTTATATTTTTTATCATATATTTGTAATCTTTAATAGTCACATTAAACTTTTTATAAATATACCATACTCTTTTTTCAGTATATCTGAAAGTTACATAGGTTGTTTTTTAAAATTGTACTAAATGAATTTTCCTTAAAGTCATATTTATTAAACTTATATTTCTTGTGACCTGATGACTAAACAATAAAAGTTAAAGAATCCTATGTCTGTTGTCTTAAAGTAATTATATTTTGTACTTTAGGAAGAAGGGTGGCAAATAATTATTTATAATAATACAAAGACAGTATCTTTTGTTACAAAACTGGGTATTACAAATTCATCTTAAATAGTACAATGTTTAATAAACATAAAGTCATACTTTTACAATTTTAACTGAACTTCATGATATACATCATCTTTGAAAATATGTTGTAACAGTATTTTTATACTTCATTCTAGAGGAACCATGAGGACTTAAATAAAAATAAATTATATTTTCAATAGAAAGTAAATGATTAAAGATTCTTTACAATAATTATATGTTGAATGGAGGATGAAGTGTTGACTATGAAGTCAGAAGACATCTTATCGTTACAATACTATTTCAATCAGTCTCTTCTTAAGCTGCTTTCACAGTTTTCTCTGGACTCCTTTGTTATATCTGATTCTTCTGAGGTGAAGCTTCCTTCTGCTTTTCTATAGAATCTATATCATTTCTTAACGCAGGTTTTCCTGTAGATTCAATCTGTATGATCCTTTCATTTTTTGATTTTGGATCTGTTTCCTTTCTTGGTGCTATAATGGTCAAAACTCCATGCCTCGAGATCCAGCCATGTTCATCTTGCTTTTCCTCGTGCTTTCCCTCAACAATTACATTCTTTCCAGACACTTTAACAGTCACTTCTTCTGGAGCAAACTGTTGAACATCCAAAGTTACCTGAAATTTGTTCTTATCAGATTGCACCGTAGATGATCCACGTGATTTACGATCAATACTCTTTTCATAAGGCTGGTATCTGTAAAGACCACGACGGCGAGGTCTCAGAACTAACATTTCAGAATCATAGGGGACCAATGCGGAAATTGGCAAGTCTTCAGGACCCAAAGGCAGTCCAAAATCTTGGGCGAAAAGACGATGAGGCTTTTCCAGATCTTCCCACCAACTGGAGAACAACGTCGGGATCAGAGACATTATGTCTTTCTTCTTTATTTAAGTTCCGGTAACAAAATACGAAGTTTCAGTTAAGGTACATAGGTTTTGGTAATGGTTCCTTTCTTCTATTTTCTTAAAACGGTTATCCCCTCTTTTTGTCTCTTCAAATGCTCTATCTGTCTTAATTTCTTCAAAACACAGACACAAATTTGTGTCTTTTGAATCCGTTCGCAATGACCGTCAACGACTGTTTCAGACTGTTCATACGAATGTATTCGTTATGCCCCTTATATAATGAGGGCACTAGTGGTCTAGCAATATGGAGAATTTTCCGGAAGCCGTACGTTCCAGAAAGTAAATAAAGACTGAATTTACACTCAGTGCGTTAGCGTTAGATTACAAATGTTTAATGAAAAAAAATTATCAACTATTACTCTGTTGTATCAATAATCAAAATCGCACTAATATTCAAGAACATGAAGAAGCAGGTAGACACGTCATTTCGAATTTTCGCGCACTTTGTACACAGTATGTATGTATATACATGGAAATTTTGCATAAAATTCAATTCACTTGATTTTTTTCCCTGTAAGAACCGTAAATTACGCAAAAGAAAGTATTTTTCATTACGAAATAAGTACACAATTGTCCTTTGCTGAAACTTTTTTAAAAGACATTACATATTATAATATATAATGTTTAACATGAAGTATATTTCTAATCATTTATTTTAATTGCAGTTTTTGCTTTCTTGTTTAAACCAACACTAATACTTTGGTATTTTTTATTTTACTTTGTAATGAATGAATATTTGTTTTTATGTGTTAATTTTAAGAAACTGTTTAAATTCAATGTTACAAAATTTTAATATAACAACGATAATAATATTAACAACAATAGGCGGTTCATTGTATTCGTCTCAACAAACACTATCATAATATAAATAAAACAAATACAGGGTTCCATTTAAAAAAATTAACTTGACTTTGATATCTCCCCCACTATTACACTTATAGAAAAATTATTTATACCACGTAATGTCCCCCTTTGTACCAAACAACTTTTGTACGAACATTTTTTTGATAACTTTAATCCTTCGTGAGATATTCCACCGTTTCCAGTTAAACGAAACACCCTATATATGTATACTTACGTATAGAGAACGTACTCGATTGTCGCACGTTCGCGAAATCTCGAGAAACGACGCGACCTGCGCGAGCGCATACATAAAAGCAGCCGGAGCGCTGACGTTCGCCAGTGTTTACGTAGCAACCAAACTGCGAAGTTCACGAGCAAACTTTCGGTGCCTCGTCAAACGAGATCTTTATACTTATCTTTTGCTGTATCGTTATCAAATCGAATAACTGCAAAATGTCTGCGATACCGTTGCTGTTCTCCGACTGGTGGGAGGATTTGGACCACCCGCACCGTCTTCTGGACCAAAACTTCGGTTTGGGCCTCTATCCTGATCAATTGCTAATGCAATGTCCGTTGCGTCTACCAAGCCGAAGGGGCGGTTCCTACGTCAGACCATGGACCGAGTTAGTTCGTTCTGGGGAGGAGGCGGCAGGTTCCTCGACCGTCGAGGCGGACAAGGACAAGTTCCAGGTGGTGCTCGACGTACAGCAATTCGAGCCGAACGAGATCGACGTTAAAGTCGTCGACAGATTCGTCGTCGTTACGGCGAAACACGAAGAGAAACGGGACGAACATGGCTGGGTATCCCGACAGTTCATGAGAAAGTACCTGATTCCTGAGCAATGTGATATCGACCAAGTCTCGTCCAAGCTGTCTTTGGACGGTCTACTTACTATCAACGCACCGAGGAAGGCTCAGCCGAAAGCGGAGAACGAGAGGGTAATCAAGATCACGTTCACCGGCAAACCGGCGATCCAGGGCAGAGCACAACAAACGAAGCAGGAGAAGCAACAGGGCGAGAAGGAGAATAAGGAAGAGAAGAAGTGAAGATATTTCCTCGCCAATATCTGCCAGTATATTAATATTCCTAATGGTTCCTTCATATTCCTATTCGTTATAGTCGTTATTCATCGTTATCTACGATTAAATTCGTATTATAGCATTTTCTCATTGTCACAAAATCCATGCATTTCAATATTAAAGTAAAACATACATATTGTTTATCATAAATATCGTATTTTCGTTTGAAATATTTGTTGGAATAAAATCTGTGTTCCAATATATTATGTGTACCTACTCATTATATGTTATAGTGAGATTATATTTTTTGTTTCTTGTAATTTTTTTACGTGATTAATAAAATTAAGAGTATTCTAATTTTGTCCAAATTTTATTATTTGTGCGCCCTACCCAAAAAACATTCACGGATAACACTAGTTCTTAAGTAGTATATGTACATACAAGAGTTGCAATTATAATTTTAGTTATGATTTTGTTATGGTACAAATTGTCAAATGTTATTTTTTATTGTTAGTATCCCAATTGTGCTATTTATTTTTTTTTATGTTTCAAGTATATCCGATTTAACGTATGTATGTAGGTATTTAGTTTTACGTTGGAAATAAAAAAACTATTCTTTGTATCGTAGTTATGTTATGTAACTGATGGTTGCACGTACAACAAAATTGCTTCATTTTGTAATTAGAGTCGGAAGATAATTGTATTTGTAGCGTTGGATTGTCAAATAGTATCCGTAATTGCTTATTACTTGGCAAAGTCATTACTGTACACCTATCGTGAACAGTTATTTGTAATTCACAGAAATCTACGATCTACCGTGTACAACTGTATAGGTTATATGCGAATCTTAACCTTTAGAAATGTAAAATATCCATGTTTTCACCAATTATTACTTAACAATAATGTAATCAATTATAACATGTTGTGTTTACGATCGTATAACGAATACAATATAATATTTATATCAATCGTTTACCACCATATTAATGTGTCATTTCTATGTAATACAAAATTTAATATGTAAGATAGTTCAATAATTAATAACTTCATCTTCTTAAAGGGGTATCTACTGTAGCCGGTCAAAAAAATCGATTTTCTTTTCCTGGCATTTTCTCATAGTTTGGGGTCTTGAAAATCTGTTCCAGAAGCAGTTTAGGGAAATTCATAAAACAATTTGTTTCGTGGTGGTCTACTTTCATGGGTTGTAGAGCCTTCTTTATTTCATATTTTCAACCAAATAACATTTTTATTTATAGCTTAAGGTATAATAAATATACAAGAGAAAGGTTCAGCATAAAAATCTTTAAGTTTTTAAAAAAATTCCTGAAGAAACTTAAAAAAAAATCGCATGTCACAGTAGAAAACCTCCCTTAAGGGACTACGAAGATGCGATTGAAAACAATTTTGTATCGGTGAGAAAGTAGTATAATTTTCAAAAAAGGGTGTTCGCAATAGTAATAAAAAAGTATTTTCATAATCCATTGTACTTCCGTTTTATTCGTACGAATTTATCACGGAGTTCCGCTTCCTTGAAAGTACAAAACGACGTACATATAAATACAACTCATACATAGTGCGAGGAACGTAAAGGTACCTTACAAAATATGTACTAGACACGTACAAATATACATAGAAAAACAGGGAACTTTTTACTGAGATTGTTTTGCTTTCTGGGTTTCTTCTGCTGGTTTACCAGTGTGCTCTATTTTAATCGTTTTTTCTTGCTTGGCTTCAAGTGTTTCTGGCCGTCTCGGTGCCGTTATGGTTAGAATACCATCCGAAGACAAAACACTCGATGCTTTTTCGGGATCACATTGATCCGGTACTAAATACTTTCTAATAAAATGCCTAGAGATTACTCCGTGATCATCTTCCTTTTCTTCGTGTTTTCCTGCGGATACGAAAACAATTCGTTCATCGGATGTGAAAATATTGGCACTCGGAGAACACATTTTATCAACATTCAATGACAATAAATTTAAAGATGGTTAAAATGAATTATGGTAAATTGTTTTTGATTCTTGTTCGAAACAAGATCAACAGAAGACAAACAGAAATCGAAAACAGGTTACTCACCCTCAACAACAATGAAATTGTCGACAACTTTTACATTTACTTCTTCTGGTTTGAATTGTTGTATATCAAGGACAACGCGGAACTTGTCCTTGTCATCTTTGATGATCGACCATCCACTTTCTTCCTCTTCTTCGAATCGATCCCACCATGGTCGGTAATAATTGTATGGCAGAAATCTGGACGGTGATCTATCGAAAAATGATGGGGGAAAATCTTGCGGATTTAATCCTTTACCAAACCGTTGATCGAGTAATCGATGTGAACGTTCCAACGTCTCCCACCAATGGGAGAACAATTTTGGAATTACTGTCATTCTCGACCTCATTGTTCAAGTGATTTGTTGTCCCACACACGTATGTTAACACAACGCGGCTACGGTGTTGATAGGTTGTCTGTCGTTTCTATACTGACGACGCACGCTTGCAACGCAGTTGTACTTATACTGTCTGTTATATATGTATATATATGTATATATATACGGCATTGTGTTCAGTCTGCCTGCGGTTGATGGGGCGCAGTCGAGTTTTCTCGTGAAGATTCTCGAATCGTCTTCGAGATTTTTCTTGAAATTTCGTCTAAGTTCAGATTAACCGTATATTTTAAAGTCTATTATTGTATGGATATAAAGGTTGTAATTGCTGTGCATCATTTTTCTATAGTAACTTAGTGTATTTTATCGCGATGTCTAGTGACATTAGACTTTTAAATTGGATATGATATGACATTGCATATTTTACTTCAAATACATTTAGAGAAGTAACAATAATGTAAATGTAAATACATATTCTATTTAAATTAGCGAATATTGCATTATATGATCTTATTTTCATAAATTATTATATCCATGTAGTTTTCTGTTGGAAAATATTTTGATTAAGTTGTATCGACCGATAGTTAAAAGACCGATAGTTAAATCTAGTTTTTCTTATATTCTCTTGTCATTTCAATTTTCAATAGGAATTAAATGTTCAGAGTGGATATACTAACTGTATTCTAATTTTCCAATCAAAAACATATTTTTTTATTATTTGATTGGAACATACAACTATGTATACGTAAATATAAGTTACACCTTTAATCGCGATATTTTGGTCACATCAGTGATAAATTTACCTGGATGTTTTTTGTAGCACATTACTGTATATTTCAAAACGTTCATTGTACATTCGTGTTGTCTTGTAGCACGTTTGTATGTACCTGAAAACATATTTTATACCGTTACAACTGAAAATATACGTTCAATGCTGTTGCGCCATTCGTATCGACCGATGAAGGTTACGAGAACGAAGATTACGCGTAGTCTCCAAAATGAGACTCTCGTTCAATCCCTAGTGTTCTTTCTGTCATTAACAAAAACTTTGACATTCAACCCACAATAGGATATCTCATAAAGTTTTCTGTTCAGCAAAACATACGGTACAACTTAAGACCATCAATTGTGCGAAACATTATCTTCAATAGTAACACTTTTATTTGCTTGACTCGTTGAATTCTTCAATTATCCATTTATATATCATATTTAATTATTAGGTTTCATATTTTCTTCTTAGAATTAATTAAGAAGGTAAACAATTCCCAGAAACACGATTTAGTACGTATGTATATTACAGTTAATTAACGAGCCCGAATGCAAACAAAGGCAATTAAGATTTATCTTCTCGGTTAGATACAAATATGTATGTATTTGGTACCTTGAAAAGTCGATTATTATTTTATGCGTAGTATTTCGAAGCAAAAGTGCGTATTAACTCAAATATCAGCCACGTAGGCAAGAAATGAATAAATGGTAAGGATCAAGTGGTCGGCTGATATTGAGAATGTATTTTACCAAAGAGTATTTTATTAACAAAAATTAACAAAGACAAAATTAGAAAAACTATTTCGAAAACATTTTTTCGTACGAGACTTCTTTTTCAAGATAACCAATTATCAAAATTCAGACTGACGTTGAGTTGTAGAATCAGAATGCACTGAACCAGACGCGTTGGCCAAATCCCATTCAATTGCACGCGTATCCAGCAGATTTTCAAATTCGATTTTCTCGAAAACGAAGCATCGTAGGAAAAAATGTTATTCTACATTTTCGACTTATTTATCTATGTAGAATCACATTCTTTCGGGTTGTACCACCATTTCGACAAGACCCTGTATATTAAAAGGAAAGGTACAGTTAGTCACAAAAGTATTCGGCCACGTCAGGCATTAACTGAATTTTGCGTGGAATTGTAACTAGGTATGCAAAGTAAAACCTATTTTTAATGAACATTTATTGTAGACTACACCAATACGTATTCATTAAAATTAGGGTAGTTATGCAGTTTCGCGGCTTTTCTCAATTTTAGCTATAAATATTTCGGAAACTAATCCTAATCGGTGTTAACATATACAGGAAAAAGGCGTTCAAAATATTGAGTTCTATGACTATAAGTTGAAGGAAACGGGACACCCTGTATATATAACTGATAGAAAACTCAACATGAATAAAATAAAAGGTATACAATACACACGTACGTATAGCACGGCGAATTGTTGAATCTAAATACATTCTGATTACGTCGTAGCTGTGTACGAACCCCACGGACTCAGGATAAAAAGGTTACCGCAAGGTTACGACGTATTTCGGCGTTAATCGATCTTTCTCTGCCATGGCTTTGTCTGCTTTATTCTACGACGCAGCATCCCAGCCGAGGGTAGTTGTTTCACGTGTTACGCTAAACCTTTCCAGATAGCACATAACGCCTAATGACGCCTTAAAGACGGCTTCTAGGCGTTATAGACATAAAATAGCTGTAAAATGGACGTCTTCGAGGCGTCATGTGTTATCTGGGTTAATTGTTGCATTACGAAAAATTTGGAATAGTAAGTCAAAAGTAAATTTTGTAAGTAGACTGAATAGAGATATTGGTATACACATCGTAAGAGATAAGCTTCGTATTATCCACGCGATTATCATTGAAAAAATATTCGCCTACGATATGCGAGAAAAAAAAAAGTGATCATGAGTTACAGTTGACTTCGGAGCGTATAATAGTCTTATGAATCTGTTTTGTTGCACTATAGGTACATACTATTATTTTGTTTACGTGTTTACGTGACGCGTTATAAAAACTACAATTAAAAGTGTTATTCTTATACTAAGCAGTGTTTTTTCACATTTAAAAATATTTATTTTATCTGGAAGATGTAAAAATAGTTTATACCCAATTATGTATTTCGGGATTTCCATTATTGTCTTACGACAGACATTTTATTTAAAAGAGAAAATTTTATTAATCAGATTTGATAAAATTACTTAAATGTATCACAACTTTATTCATTTACGTTTCTGTTATGAACGAGGTTTTATCTTATGTAAAGTGTCATCTGTTTTGGAGCGATCAACGCGGAACTAAAAATAACACGTCGATATATTAAATGCTGTATTTAACGGGCAATACTTTTTATACACCAGCAATAAAGTGTAAAAAATTTCGGTTAAGTTGATGCGACATGTGTAAATATGTATATTACCTAATCTAAATGTGAAATGACTAAATAAGACACAATTGCGAAACGAAGGATTGATTTGCTCTGTTCTGAAAAATATCTAGAATTTTCGTATCTTTCCAAGAGAGAATTTTGATAAAATATTTCGATTGATCGTTGCAGGAAACCGAAAGTACTTACTTGAGTGTTGTAACAGATAATTCTTTTAAACTTGTTATAAGATGCTATAGAATATGGAATACTTGTAATTTTTCAATAAAATATTATGTATGTATGTTGTACATGAGATTTAAAATAGTACGAAATTTTGACGAAAGAATGATTAAATTTTAGTATATCAGGTTCTCCCTTTAATTTTTACTCTTTATACACTTTTAAAATGTAAATATGAAACAATAGCTCAATCAAGCTATTAACGGAGAAAAATAAGATAGAAATAATTATATTTATAATTACATATTTTTCACGTTAATTTCACAATGTTCATAACAATATCGTTTAATAATACTATTCTAGCAATTTTAGAAATCCCGGGAAAACAAATCGCTCTTTTTAAAAAACTTGTAGAGGAAAATTCAATTTGAAAATTATTGTAACATTCAACGAAGCGATTAAAATATTTATTTATGTATCTTATTATAGAGATCGAAGTAATGGTAACGGTAGAATTATCTCGAAACATCAGTTTTCGGTGACAGAAATTCTGTTGCATCATTTCTGAACGTTTCTTAAACATTCATTGAAGCGCATTCAGTAAGAATATGGAATTTGTATAATAATAAAGTTACAAAAATACAGAATATCAAAACAATGTTTGAAAAAAGATGTTAATCTCACGACGATTGGATAAACAAGAGTAAATAATGAAATTACAATTAACCCATCTAAGAAACAAAAACATATAAAAATCTGACTAAAATCTACATAAATAGGAAGGTACATATATTTTGTCGTCGATACGCAACGGAGAAAATTCTAGAAATGTACGTTCCGCACGCATCGATAACCTGACGTGTCGCAAACGGGGGCAACCGTGAGAAGGTAAACACGTACCGGGACTCGCAATCGGTCTGAAATAATTTCCATATACACCGCGAACAAAATAACGAACGTTTAATTACGCGCATTCAATTGGTTATCAATCATTAAAACGACGGATGACATTTATCATCCGTAGCCCTGGAAACTATTCGAAACTTCAGAATACAACGAACGTACCACCACACACAAACCTGCCCCATATAAATAGTAGACGTCGAAGACGAAAAAACACCAGTTGCATTTCAGACATCGGAGGCATCGAACAACAAAGTTGTACGATTCGACCGTGTGTGTATCGCATCCGAACACGCGAATAAACGTAATACACGAGTACTGAACGAAGTGTTTACCATCGAAACCGGATCATCGACCAATGATGTCGCTGTTACCGTTACTGTTCTCCGCATGGTGGGCGGAATTGGACCGACCCCACCGTTTGATGGATCAAAATTTCGGACTGGGTCTGACTCCTGAACAACTGTTACTTCCCAGCATCGTGGATACATCCTTCCCGTTCAGTAATCGAGGGGCGCTTGATTTCTATTATAGAACGATGAATGACTTGATGCGCCGCGGCGAAAGTGGTACCTAGACTATAACCGCGGACAAGGACATGTTCAAGGTTATCCTGGACGTGCAACAGTTTCAACCGGACGAGATCAATGTGAAACTCGTGGATCGCTTCGTCATTGTGGAGGCGAAACACGAGGAGAAGAGGGATGTACACGGTCTGATCTCGAGACAGTTCGTGACGAAGTATTTGTTACCCGAACAAGTGGACGAGAACCAGCTGTCGTCGAACATTTCCTCCGATGGTATTCTGACGATCATGGCACCGGTGAAGACAAAAAAGGAAGAACCGAACGAGCGAACTGTTAAGATCGAAATGACTGGTAAACCTGCTATTCGTGACACTGTGGGTACAACGACAACGATCACTGCAGGTATGCCCGAAAAAATTACGAACCCTGTACAAACGACACAGGAGCAGAAGAAACCCGAGGAATAAGACCTTGATAGTTTGTTCCTATGTACTGACACATGGACGGTTACGTTTGAATTAATTGTATAGATTTTTTTTCCGTATTTAATGTGCCATTTTGAACGTTGTGTGTGAAGATATTGTATAAGTTAGTGTTCTATTTTGTACTGTTGAATAAAAAAATTTGTGTTACATAAATTAAGTACCAATTTTTTTACCTCGTTTTACCTACTTTCTTTTGCGTAATCGAGAAATATGTAAAGATAAAATGCTTAAAATAGATTCCCCCCGAAGTTTAATGGGAAACGAATATGATAGAAAAAATGGTAAAACTAACGATTTCGTTTTTTTTAACTGGGAAAACAGGAACGCTGTATTTTTACTGAGAAATACTTAAATATTACACATATATTCAAAGTATTTTAAGAATTTTACAGAAAGATATATTTTTTATTAGCAGATTTTTCTTAGAAAATTTTTTTTAGAAAATATTACTGCGGTTACATTTCCTATAAATACTACAATCATATATAATTTACAGTTAATTGATTCATTTAGTCGTATGTTTTGGTTCAATATCCTAATTACATACACATCGACAGAGAAGTACAGGCAAGAGCCATAGACAATAATAAAAAATAAAAAAATGTCTATGGCAAGAGAGAGAGTTACCATAGAAACTGTTCGTGACGCAAACGCAGCACATGTATACTACGAAATGGAAATCAATAAGGGTACTGAAATTTGTATTTCATTGATTGGATGTTGCTTCGATATTGATAAATACTGAAAAAGGAAATGGAGATTTTATTAAAAATGGGCTATAATGTAGTTCACGTGGAATTAGGGGAGTTCTCGAGTTTCGAATTTGTTTAAGATATGCAGGTCTTTCAATATTGCGATTTTTGCCCATTTTCGTAAGAATGGATTGTACTTATGAATTTATATCTCGGAAACTATTTATCGTATTCGGTTGATTTTGAACTTTTTTGTTTTAATCGAGAAGGATCAGCCTTCCTGAATAAATTTTGTTCAGGTCGAAAACTCATTTCTGCAATACTGAAAATTATAAACAAATTTTTATTTTGCAAATTTTGGCTCGAGGTCGCGATTTTAAAAATCCGACAAAAATACTACCGTATTCGTTGAAATGTTTTCCATAAAATAAGCCTATCGGTACGGTGGTACGGTTTTTGTTCCTCCATCTGTGTTCGAGAATTGTTTAGTATACGTTTAATTAAAGATTCTTATAGGCGTCAAAGTATAACCTCTTTTTTTGTTCATATACGTTAAGACGTTTATTTCCCAGTTGAGAATATAGTCCGAATGAAATGTATTTTAATTGAAATGGATATCCATGAATCTGTGTGTATATTAACTACAATAAATCAATATACAGCAGACTTCCGATCATCCGGCCTCGCTTTAACTAGTCTTCGCTTTAATCGGCCATATTTTTGTGGACATGAAAAATATAGATATCGCATTAATAAACAAAATTAAATTAAGAAGTAGAAAAAGATTACCGATTTTTTTTCTGTAAAAAAATAATATATCAAATATTTTTTATATGTATGCATGTGTAAGTATATAGTAAACATTATAGATATACGTTAATTTTTCTTCAATAACTACCTAGAAATGATAAGTGATACAAAATGTGTGATGAAAATTTGGATCGACCCCACAGTCTCTGGGACCAACATTTTGGTACTTCCATAGATCCGGATGATGTTCTGTCCGATCTGGACTCGATTTCGACAGACCTGATTATGTATCGGCCGATTGTGCGGAACAAGCGACGGTATCATCCATTTTGGAAAAGCGTAGTTAGGAAAGGACGTGGTGCGTCCACGGTGCACGCCAACAAGAACAAATTAGAAGTCACCTTAGACGTGTCGCAACTCGCGCCGGAAGAGATTAACGTTAAAGTGGTGGACAAAAATGTTATTGTTGAAGCGAAGCACGACGAGAAAGAGGACGAATACGGTTGGGTGTCCAGACAATTCGTCAGGAAATACATCGTGCCGTCGCAATGCGATATCAGTCGAGTTGAATCACGTTTGTCCAGCGATGATATCTTGACTATCTCGGCAGCCAGAAAGGAACCGTTGAACACCGAAGTATGTATGTATGTATAATAAAAATAAGTAAATGAAAAAGTAGTGAAAATACAATACACGGGGAATCCAGCTTTAACTAATAGCGAAGAGCAAGTCAATGGTACGCCGGAACCCCAAAAAGATCAACAACCACAACGTGGACAGCAACATCAGCGTGCAAGAAAAGGAACTAAGAGCACATAAATTATTTGTTACATCCTTATCCGTTTCATTCTGTACTATCATATCTCATTCTTTATGTACTTTTATATTGTAAACATACTTCACGATATCACTAGTATTATGTACAAATGCTGTAAATTTTGCACTATTGTTGTTCTTTAAAAAATAAATTTTTACACGTTAAATAGAGTTAAAAACTAAATTAGAATTAAAATTTAAATATGGTTTATTTATTAATCTATCCCTATTCCAATTCTTCACACTCGGTTCTTCTGCTATTTAATTTTTAGTAATAATTAATATACAAAACGGTTAAAACATAGTTACGTGTGATTTATGAAAACAGATTATAAAACGATTTTTTTTACTAGTTTGTTAGCTATATTTTGTTACATTTCATTAATAAAGTGTTACCAATTCCTGTTACTGTCCTGTACTAGGTCATTTCCTGTTACTGTGTATATTTGTAGAAATATATTCGGTAATTATGCAGTTTAGTGGTTTTTGTCAATTTTAGCTATTTCGAAAACAAAAAATCAAGCGGGGGCGGTCGAAAATGTAATGTAGTTTTGTCATCTTTGCTTAAAAAAGCGTGGCAAATTATTCGGAATCGTACACTCAACACCGATTTCAATGACCTTTGGATATGCTATAGAACTCTTTCTTGTACATGTTGGTACTGATTGGGCTTAGTATCCGAGATATTTATAGCTAATACTGGGAAAAGTTGCTAAACTGCATAATTACCATGTATTCTTCTTAGGGAAAGAAGTTATTTTTGTCATAGCATAATTTATCCTGTTTGAGAATACGCCAAATTGTGATTCATAAGAAATGTCTAGAAGTCTCGAGAGTGTATCGACCTGTATGATAAACAGACGGTGTGGACTGCAGCCAAGACGTGCATGCTAACAGTTTAGGAAGCACCTAGAATGTCCTAGAACTAGAACGATCGATTTTAGACTGTTGCCTTTCTATGTGTAACAGGTTTAATTTCAACTCCAGTAGTTCTGCTTTAAGGAATAGTAAATCCATACTGATCATTGTCTACGTGACAAGTAGGTTAGTGAAAGGAAGGTGAAGGTCGATGACAACCGACTGTGCATTTAACAAATTTAATTGAGAAGTTACATGTGTAGGAACAAGATTAATAGCTTAAATTAAAAAATAGAATTTTTTATGCAGTTATTAACACATAAGAAGTACTAGTCCTGTTATTTGAAAGTGTAATGAATTGTCTAGCAGACAATAAGATGTGCTGAAGATCATGTACACTTCTACGCTAGACATTACACAGATATTTATATTAAAATCATACACGTATCTAGAGATTTTGTATTATGCAATCTCTGAAATTGATTATGTAAATTTTTAAATTTTATTTTTAGTACTATTAAATCATTTTATATTGTACCAAGTCCAGAAAGTTCTCGAATATTCGACTAATGCAAAATATTATCTTTAAATGATTCATCATTTCAATTATTTGCCGATTATTTTGCCACTTGTGTATTGCAAAATATGACCCGTGTATCGATGTATGTATTATGTATTACCATAAAAAGTAGTTTCTTTCTATAAGTTAACACTTGTACTTTACATACATCGCTTTTGTTAAGTTGCATAGTCGGTGTCTCGCTAACATGAGGTCATAAAAACAGTCATACGTGAATGTATACATGTTTTGATTGCCGAAACAGCGAATCCTCAACTGCGCGTCTGAATTTGATCAAATGTTTCATTTACGTTTCAATAAAGATATATAACGAAATATAATATTTTTGAAAAAAATTACAGGACACTTCAAAAAACAATAAATGTTCCAGTTGTTCTTTAAATGATGTATTTTTATAATGAGAACCGTTGATAATTCAAATTATTAGAAAAAATTCCAACTGGTTAAGTTAATTTAAAGACGATCACGTCACATCTTTTAAATTTTCAAACTAAAATTTCAAAAATTAATTATTTTCGAAATTTCATAGTTACACTTCGTATGCAAGTACGTACATAACGTGATACACGTACAATACATTTTCGGCGAATAATACGATTTTTGACATGTGATTTGTGAAAGACGTAAGTAGTGAAGTATCTAGAATCTAGATAGTATATTTTCAATAGGAACAACGATGTATGGGTCAGATTAGATATACATCACAGCAAATAACAATAGTAATAATTTTATGCACCATGTATTCGTACATCGCACGGTGTGTTACAGTTGCGTAGTATGTACAACGTTCTGTTTATTTACCATATGTATAATTTATATAAACAATCATTATTATATGAACAATCCTTTATTAAACCAGAAATATACGTTTATGTTAAGAGCATTTTCAAATGATTTGTCTACCTAAATATATTCTCTGTGAGTAATAAGACGCAGAACATTCCCGAAAATGTATTGACATTCAGAATGTTCTGGATCCCACCACCGACTACCAGTAGCGCTCCTATAAATACGAGGGTTGCAGATGCGCAACAACAGTCTACTGAGAGCAAGCGACCAAGAAACATCGAAGTAAAGAGTGTTAAGAGCAAGTACCAGAATCACAAGTACTAAATACATTGTTTACGAGAACAGTAACAAGTGATTGAGTGAAAATGTCTCTGATACCTATGTTGTTCTCCAACTGGTGGGAGGATTTGGATCATCCGCACCGACTCTTCGATCAGAACTTCGGTCGGGGCTTGCATCCTGAACAATTATTGAGCCCAAGTCGTATCGAACAATATGAACATCTTTGGCCCCCTATTATGGACAGAAGAGTGACGGCAAGAGACCCTTCACTTCTGTACTACAGACCTTGGCGTAAACTTCTGCATAAAGAAGGAGGTACATCCACCGTCCAGGCGGATAAGAATAAATTTCACGTGGTCTTGGACATTCCGCAGTTTAAGCCGGAGGAAATTAACGTTAAAGTCGTTGACAAATGCGTAATTGTCGAGGGCAAACACGAAGAGAAAAAGGACGAACACGGATGGATTTCACGCCAGTTCACCAGGAAATATCTGATACCTGAGCAATGTGACATCGAGCAAGTATCATCTAGTCTATCTTCCGATGGTGTACTCAGTATCACCGCACCTAGGAAGCATCAACCAAAGGTCCAGGCTGAGAGAACGATTACCATCGAACACACCGGTAAGCCGGCAATAAAAAAGGCCCCGGAGGAGCAGAAAGAAAAAGAAGAAGAGAAGAAAGAAGAAAAGTAAACCATTGTTCTTGAACATTATCAATTGTAATTGATAATACTTTGTGTTCCTATTTCACACTGTTTTAAATTTTGTCATTTTTCTATGAGTATTTTTTAAATAAATGTTTAAAAACATAAAACTTCATTGTATTCTTTCCTTTCAATTAGATATATATATAGTATTAGAATAATTTGGAAAATAGTTTGATTTTTCGAAGTACTGGAAGATACATTGCAACTTTTTTTTACGTAATAATTTTTTAAATTGTGATATTTTGAGTTTTATTGTACACTAAATTTTGTTTGAAACATTAAAAATTATGACGGTCAGTATTCGTAATATGTGTACAGTACAGTAAAAATGCAGTAATAAAAGGATACTAGTGGTACAACCGGGTAGGGATTGATTTAGTTTGTGAAGAAATTAATTTGAACTGTAAGTAAACAGAAACGGAATGCAATGAATAAACGTGCCAGCGAAGTCTTAATTCAATTGCACGCGCATCCAGCAGATTTTCAAAGTCGATTTCCTCGAAAACGAAATCTGAAATAAAGTTTTTAATGTGTATCTTCGATTTATTTTTTCATGTAGAATCACCTCCTATCTCGTTGTACCACCAATTAAATGACACCCTGTATACTATACATTTAAATGGAAATACTTATAGTGATGTATGATATATCCTTGGTCCATCTTCTCCGAAGTTAACATTATAAAATCATAGTTTAATGTAAAGATGCAATGCCTTGTTTGAAAATAGTTAAAATCTATAGACTAAATGAATAAAATTGGAATTTCTATGGAAAATTATAATCAATTCAAAAAAAATCATTACATATTTATTGCTAGTCCACCACATCATGCTTACTTTTAGTACATTGTTTTATATACATTTGATGCAATATTGAAATAAAACTTTTATCTTGCAGAGTATTATAACATTTAACACTATAAGAATATAAATACAATTTTCATGTAACGCATATAAATTTTTAAATTATACTTATTATATTTCTGATACTGTTTTAACTTGTTCTGCAGTTAGAAAGAATATATTGTAATATATCGCACGAAATATAGATGAAAAGATTTAATACTGTAAATATGTTATTTACTATTTCATTCGTTGTATATCTGATTAGATTTCTCATGTTAACATTTTTGATAAAACAGTGCTGTTATGAACTATTTTTCAAATTGACAACAATTTCCTTTCAAGACTGCTACGGATTACTATTTTACAACATATTTACGGTAATTTATATTAATTATTGTCAGCAAGAAAAACTGAATTTCTGAACAATCATTAAAAGTTCCATTATGAGCACCATAACATATTAAAATAAAATATTCATTCATTGAGATTTACATACACAAGGGTATTAAGAAGTTGAGTTTAAGGCTACATATTGTGTAGTAATTAGTCGAGTAATTACAAATAAATCTCCAGTGTTCTAATTCTTTCGTTTGTCCTTGAATGAAATTCAGTAAATAAATGTAATTTTTTAAACATTGCTTCCAACTGTAGTCTAAAAATTTACAAAGCATATAATATACTGAAAGTTTTAATATCAGCTGTCCTTCAGCACTTCTTTTAAGATAGAACCTGTATTTCTAGCTGGAACGAAGTCTGGGAATGTTGGAAGATTTACATTAGATAGCAACAAAGTGGATTGTGTTGATGATGTCGAATGCTGTCTACTATGACCAGGTCTTGGCAATGACTGTAAAAAGAAATGCAATATAATTTTGAAATCGGATGGCTTATATGTAACATATGTATAAATATATATTCATACCGATGTTTGTATAGGTAGTGCAGGTAACTGTGGCTTAGGTTTTGATTCACTTTCTAAAAATCTCACAAATGCAGCCGATAAGGATGCTTCTTGATCCTGAAAAACAAACGTATATACATTAATAATAGTTTACTAGATTTTAAAATTGTGAGGTACTCAAATATTTATTAACAAGTAAAAGTTACCTTGTTAGGAACATTAGAACCACTACTTAAACGCGAAAACCAAGTATTATGAGTGGCTGCGGTATTCAAACGAGCTCTATCTTTCTCCACTTCATCGAAATCCAAAATTGTTGAAAATACTCTAAGTACCGAAGACTTGTCTGCTGCTGATGATGTTAGGTAACCCAATAGAAGGTTTTTAATGAGAGTTCTGAAAATAGTTGTTTTTTATATTAATGATAATGCATATACGATTTAAATTTTTGTTTATGATAAAAGCTACATTATAATTGAATCATAAAAACTAATTTACTAACTTATCAACTTTTCCCTCTCCACTTTGTTTTGCTTCTTCTATTCTTTGATCTGCAGTATTTACAAGATTCGTCAATCGGTCCACTATAAATATATAGTAAAAAAACATGAAGAAAATAATAACAAATATAAAGAATAATAAATAATGTATAACGGTAAGCTTTTTGAGATTATAAATTTAGCAATGTGCCTGAAAACATAGTTTTTAAATATTAATTATTCACTGTTCAAGGAATATTTTAGTATGTTGGATGATTCTTTTCTATACATGTGCATTCCAGCGTTGTAAGGTTCGCAGATTTGTAGGCTGAAAAGACATGAGCGTAAGTATAACACAAGTACTGGTTCTTTGAATATCACACCAGTACCTGATGTAATACTCACACCCGTGTCTTAATTGCTCATGCTGCATTCTTCATTCATCATGCCGTACTAGCAAACTAACTTTCACACATGCCACTAGAAGTAAGAAAGCTATATTAATATTGTAATAAGTACTTTAGTATGTTACAATATAATAATATAATTAGTGTGTTACAATAATATAAAATACTGCACTAAAATTCAATAGTTCTCTTATTATGATTGTAATAAGTTCATTACATCTGAAATTAAAAATTTATTTTATAAATTAATATAATTTTATTTCGAATGATTACAGCGAGTATAAAATGTGAAATGCATAACTCAGGAAAGTAATGTTTCTTAAATTTGATGGTAGACTGTTACAAAAATGAAATAAATGAGGGATTAGTGAATATATTACGTAAAATAGAATTAGATAAAGATAAAAATATGCATTATTAATCGGAAAATGAAATTTTTTTTATGAAATGCTTTCATCTTTGTAGGGTAATGGTAACGGGTGGGAAACCCCACGAGGTAATATGAGCTTTTACAATTTACACGCTCACAGTTACCGCATGAGATTACCCACTCCAACGCTACCAAATTATATGTGTGATTTTATAGATATTATTTTCTTATATCATGTGTAACGTCTTATCTTAGTTTACGTTGTATTAAATATTTTGATTTATCAGTGAAATATTTATAAACCCTTAGTATTTACATTATTCTGATATGTATGATAAATATTATGTAAATATATAGTTCACTTATATCTCATTTTTACAAACTTATAGGTCAAATGATTGCAAATACAATCAACATGATTGTACAATTGAGTGACAGGTGATTATACATATATGTAAGTTCACAACTTAAGCATATGATTTCATAATATTACAATCTCATGGTAACTAGTATTATTTTGAAGGATTAAGTGCTGAGGTCATGATATTATCTGACGCATCATTCTTACATTGTATGTGCATTAATAATACAATTTCATATATGCAGAATCAATGTGCAAAAGTGTAAAAATAACATAGAAATACTTAATAGCACATATAAATAAAATGTTACTAGATATTAAATTGGAAAGTGGTTTTACATAGATACAGAGTAATATACAATTAAATTTGTTTATCCCTAATTTTTTATGAGTGATCAGGAATGTTTATTCAGAAAATATGGGAGGAGATAGTACCAGCACCAGTGGCAATGCATGAGCCAACGAAGATGTGATTTAGTGTGCTAAGGCGACGGTCCAGTTCGTAGCCGGATACCAGCAAGAATCCTGGGTTATTCTCAAAATCCCAGAATTACCAGCTGATATTTGACTACGTCACCGGAGTTTCTATGTGTTTGCTTTTGCAGATTAGTCACAGATCACACTCAAACCAATAATTATAGAGTGGGTTTCAACCATTTTACCAGTGCAGAAATTATAATTAGAGTGTGTGATGTTTTGCAAGTTGAACTATAGCAAGCTGTAAGAGCATCAGATTCTTCTGCACAATTTTATTGTATGTGTATTCTTAGTAAATATCATTACGAATGTATGTTACATGTACATTTTTTTCATTATTTATGGCATAATACCAGTACTGTTGCAGTGCCCGTGTGAATATACGTACAAGTCAATGGTCATAAAATATATTGTTTTCAATTCAGGTCATATATAATATGCGTTATATTGCACCAGAAAACTTAATTTTATGTATCTCTAAATAATGTCCATAAAAAATCTTTTTTACGAGAATAATCCACTTCTAAATACAATTTACGAAAAACATATTTCATGTATTTTCAAATATAAAAATATAGCTGATAAATTAATACAATACACTAAAATAAAATAAGGACTTATTCTCAGTATAATAGGATTTCATACCTAATATCACCAACGAAATTACGCAGTCAAGTTCAATAAATAAGCAATATTAAGCATTGTTCTAGTCAGAAAGATAAGTTATTTTAAATACTTTAATTTAATTTTACAAAATAATTTAATTTTACACAAAAACACCGAATATATGTAACCACACCAAATAAGCACATATACATATTATTTACTTACGTTTAGCAACAGTTCTCGCATTTGATTTTTGTCTTACGTATTTAAAAACAGACTAAGTAAATCCTCTGTGACAGTTCCAGCGAATGTTTAAGCGCTAACTTATTTGCAATTATATTAAAATCCCATGACACTGTTTTTGGCCAATAAGGTTTAATTGTGAAAAAATGTTAACCATGCGAGATGTAAAAGGGGCACGATGCAGGCAGAAAAAAACGTAAAATTATATAATAATTATAAATTTGGATACCTTCTTCATTCAGTTGATCAATACGTTCTGTTTTTTTATCGAGCTGCTCGCTTAATCTGGATGCTGCTTGTAAGCACTCTTTAGCTTCAGCTAATTGCTCCTGTTAATAGGTATTAAAAATGACACTGAATTAATAATTCGACAAATATATTTTGCTCTGTGATAAGTATATAATTATTATATAGATACCTTAAGATTGGCAACGTCGTTGGTTAATTCTTTTTGTTTCTTATATGATTCGTTTAACTTAGCTTGAAGTCTCTCCGTTGCTGATCTAATATCTTTCTCTTTATCTAAAATAACAGACATGTGTCACTAATTTCATTTAAAATTTCTATTGTTTTATTATTCTATTTTTGTTCATTTATATATTATTTTATTTATCATTAATTGTTCTAATCTTATCTAAGTCCATAAGCCAGGAATTATAATATTCCTATTATAAACATCAGTTTGAGATTGTTTCAATATATTCAATAAGGAGGAAAACAAGTGTTTCAATTGCTTCATTCGTCGACAAATTTTGTCGATAGTCAGTTACTACAACAATTATTCCTACAAACGTTAATATTATAAATGTTGAATGTATACCTCGTTGAAACTGTTCTAAGACGATTTGCAAGTTAGTTAGAGATGCAGCCTGCGATAGAATTTTGTCTTCAGCACTAAACAGTTTGTTCTGTATATCATCCCTTTGTTGAACGATCAGGGCCATTTGTTGTTGCAACGTCTCCACTTGTTGATTCGCCCGGATACTAGCGGACGTGTACGCGGTCGAACTGTTCTTCATTTTTTCTTCAGCTTGCTGTAACATTGCTTCCAATTCCTTTCGTGCCTCTTCAACGATCAAAGCTTCTTCTGTGTAACTGGATTCAACTTCAACTAAATGCGTCCGTAAACGTTCCAATTCTCTTGCAGCGTTTGCCTCCTTGTTCTGACTTTCGTTAAGTTGATGCTGCATCATCCTGTTGTTTGATTGTTCCTGAATCAACGCTGCCTCCAACGCGTTGCATTTCTCATTAAGAATCGCAGTTTCTGCCAACAGTTTGGAATGTTCCACGATACCGCAGGTTTCGTTGCTGTTCGATTCCTCGACGTTCTTCAGACGTTGCTGGACCACCTGCAATTCGTTCTTTGTCCACAACAGTTCCGCGTCCTTCTCCGACAATATAGATAAATTGGTCGTCTGTTCTGCTATCAAGCTTTGAATTTGCGTGACTTTCTCGTTCAAGAGATGGGTCAACCTCTGAATTTCTGCGTGATACTGCAGACTTTCATTGTGTTTTATGGTAACATGCTTTACAAGCTCGTCTCTTTCGTTCTTCATAGTTGCAAATTCGTTCGACATCTCTGCATTGTTTTCGGCAAGATCAACCGATGCTTTCAGACTATTAATCTCTTCATCTTTTTCTTTGATCAGATGAGATAAGCTTTCTATTGTTTGCTTCCCCATGTCGGCGGATTCTGTGTTACTCTCGACGGTAATTTGTAACTTTTTCTGTGCTTCAATTATTTCAGTCTTCAATCTGTCGTTATCATTTTTCAGAATCTCGTTCTCATTTATATGATTAGACAATTCTCGTGTTTGCATCTGCAAAGTTACCACTTCTTGTTCCAATTGTTTACACTTATCCCGGATGGTTTGATTTAAAGTTCTTAAACTGTTGTTTTCTTCCATCAGTTTAGAGCAATTTCCTTGCAAGCTTATTAATTCCATCTCTTTTAAACGTAATGCTTCCATGTCGATTATTAATTTGTTGTACTCATTTTGCACGGAACTGAGGTTTTCGATAGTTGATCTGGACAGTTCCAATTCGTTCTTTAGTTCTGCTTGTTTTCTTATTTCATTCTGGAGGTTTGTATTTTCCAATTGAAGCTCTTCGACTTTCATACTCAGACAAGAGAATTCATTCTCTATTCTCATGTATCTTTCTTCAGACTCTCGTAATCGTTCGGTAATTTCACTCAATTGTTTCTCTTTGGTCGCAACTCCATCCTTCAATTCGGCCTGTTCTTGCTCGAGCAATGTTTTCTCCGTGTTTACCAAGTCTAGTTTATCGTTCGATTCGTCCTGAATAGCAGCCAATTGTTCCAAGAGGGAACTTTTCTCCTTCATGAAGTTCTCGTTCTCCTGATTCAATTTCGCTATGTGACTTTCCTTCAGATTTATTTGACTGAACGCATCGTCCAGTTCTTTCCTCATATTCCGGATATCATACTCTAAATCGTCCCTCTCGCTGGTGGCTTTGCTGAGCTGCTCTTCGAGATTATTCAACACGTCGTCGTTCTCTTTCTCCAAAGCGATTTCTCGCCACTTCGATATCTCCGTTTCCAGTTCATTGTACTTGTGCAACAGCTCCTCGTTCTCGTTTTCTACTACGTTTTTGGCTTCTCGCAGAAGCGTCAGATTGCTCTCCAACTGTTTCGTATTAAACGTCGACGTCTTTAGTTCTTGTTTCACGTTCTGCAGTTCGAGCTTCAGCTCCTCGATAAATTCGATATTCTCGTCCAAGCCTTTACACTTTTCCAACGACATTCTGAGCTGTTCTTGCGTCTCCCTGTCCGTGTTTTCCAGCGTGTCGATCTTCTTCCGTAGCTCGTCGTTCTCGTCCAGAGTGGCGTGCAGCCTGCGATTCAGACTCTCCGTCCCGCTGTCGGTCTCTTCGATACACTCCGGGATGTCCTCTAATTTCGTTACTTTTTTACTCCTGGCTCCTAAATATCCTTGATTATTCTCCAATCGTGCGCTCTCGTTCAAACCGGCTCCGCCTAATTTCGCGTTTTCCTTTCGCAGCGCCGCGTTCTCCGTCTGAAGATGTTTCACCTCCTCGTTCAACGACTCCGTTTCCGATTCCAGCGAGGCGACACGTTCCTCGCTCGCCTCCGGTATGGACGGTAAATTCAATTTTAAATCCTGAATGTCTAGCAACAGCGAGTCGATGTGCGTTTGCATATCGTCGCACTCGATTTGTAAATTGTTCTTCACTTCTTCGGCCTCTTTTAGCTCCCGATTCATCTCCGCCACCTTCTTTTCCAACACATCCTTCTTCCATTTCGCGTCGACGTATTGCCTCGCGACAGTCTCGAATAACGACGCTCCTTGTTCCGGTTCTACAGGACAGTTCTTTAGAATATCGTTCAATTTGACGGTCAGCTCGTCGATCGTGTTTTCGGGGGTTTCTTTCTCGTCAATTTTCGAATCATCTGTTTGAACGACGCTATCTACATTCCCTGAGTGGACAGTTTGGGAGGAATGGGATGCTGTTTCGATTTCGACGCGCGCAGTGGACTTCGTTAGCGTACTTTCCAAGTGGGCAACCTTATCCTGGGCCTGGTTATAGTCTACGTAGAGTTGTTCGTAAGCGTTTTGAAGGCGCTGATGCTTTTTCTCGATTTCTTCCTTCAGGGACAACAGTTTCTCTAGGACACAAACACGTTTCACGTTACATATTTATACTACCGTATCAGTTTTAAACAATCTTTTTTTCAATGTTATACTATCTTTATCAGTGGTTCTGTTAGGTTGAATAAATTTTAATCAATTTATCGAACGTTTTCCGATGTCTCTATCGTCATTGTAAGATTGCAATATACTATAAATGGATAAACTTCTGATAAGTAATATTTTTTCGTTGTGAAACTACAAAAAAAATACAAATGCAGCGTTACTTGTTGAATTTTCTTGAGACGTTTAAAAAATAAAGAAACATTTTAGTACATTATAAAATGTGAAAATGGTTCGATGAACCGATCACACTTACGAATCGATTCCTCGTGTTGCTGATCCAATTCTTCGACGTTCGTAGACAGTCTTTTGTTTTCTTCCTTAAGATCCTCGATCTTTTTGTACAATTCCGACTCTTTGTTACTCGAGGCCTCGATAATGCCGTCGTGACGTTTCTCGTGTTCCGAATTCACATCGAAGCCAGACTTCACCGCGACAGGCTCGTGGGCAACAGTGTCCTCCGGTCTTTTGAACTTTTCATCGAAGTCCAACTTCTCTTGTCTGTCGGTCTCGCTGTTATGCCTTTCGTTCTCGGTTTCCAGCGCTCTCAACGCAGCCCGTACTAAATCCAGCTTCTCCAGTGAGTTCAATTTCGACAAAACCGTACGGAAATCGTTGACCAATGCCGTTTCGTCCGGTGTGTTCCATATACGTCTTGTGTTCCTCTCGGCTTCTCGAGACTAATCGAACAAATTAAACGATTACAATTTCTCATGAATACAATTTCAATGAGAAGCTTATATCCAAAACCACCTTAATATTAATTAGCATACATCATATATGCATAGGATTTTAAAGATACAGGAAGTATTACTTAAGAACCCTGACACGCTTTGTATCCGTTTGCATAAGAGGGACTAATATGATGTACAAACATAGATTCCTGTTCAGACATAAGACGAAATAACTGAAATAATAAGCGTTAGGTTTTTTTTTTCGTTTTGGCAATAAGTAGGAACGAGATGGACAGAAATGAGAGTTGTATTTTTAAGTAGCTGAAAATGAGAGTAGCTCTTCCAAGTAGAACCGAACAGTGATCAAGAAATTTCCAACGTTTGTACACAAATGTCTTTTTGTTTGAAGACTTCAATGTATTTGCTGTATTTATTTAACTTTCGGGATTTGAATATATGCAGTCTGTAACAGTTTTTTAGCCTCTCAATATAAAAGTATTTGTAAATATTTTTGTTTCCCTTCGTTTTAATTAAATATCTTTTTTCGCTGCCTTACCTTTTCTTCCATTTGTATTATACGATTCACCATATCTTGCTTGGCTCGCAGAAATTCAGCTTTCTGATGTCCGTCAGTCAGCTCATCCTTTAAGGCGGCATTGTTCACCTACGTACAATAAGACCGTGAAAATTTTGTTCCATCAGAAAGCATACGAAATTCTATAGTTCGTTCGTATCCTTCCACGGCTTCGAAGGATAATAATTGCAAGTCGATCGAACTGCATGCGTGCACGTTTTGCATCGTCCAATGGGATGGCAGTGATACAATATTGATTAATGATAACGCGTAATGACATATGTCATCACGTGCATGTATGCGTGAAACGGCCGGCGGCGCACGGTTAAAATTAAACGCAATTATATCAAAACAATTACAACCGTAATTATGTCTTTTATGTTCAGTGGGACATAGGAGTCAACGTGATTATTAAGTACGCACGGGACAAAAAAGAAAGAAACCGTTGCGTAAAGTGGTAAGCAATCTCGTAACTTTTATCATTTATTTAGTAATGTGATCAGAGGGGGATTGTCCCTGCAAAAGAATACATAGTTACACGATAAACAAGCGTATGGTTTCGCTGCGTGATTATTATTGTGTAGTAAGCTGTTAGAGTTGGCCAACGAAGTGACTTAAAAAAAAAAAAAATGGCATTGTAAGGGATAGCATACGTCACCGGTTCTCCATAAAGTGGATAATCTTCTAAGTAAAGAAAAGTTTGTTAAAAGCAGATAGGTAGAATATCCTGTAATTGGTATTATAATCCAAAATAGGGTGGTCCTACGTGAAACAGTACAACGAAAATGTTGGATAGCAATTTTCAATTTTGTAACGTAAGGTCTTGGTTCGCGAAAGGATCAGGTTTGACAATTCGTTGTACGATGCTTTTCAATATGCATGGAATAGTGTCTGAATATTATTCGATATTTCCACTTATAAGAAACACTGATTATGGTTGCGGTATGGAGGTATTGTGTGTATTCCATCGACCTTATTACCTTGTAATTATCACATCAGATAAAATTATTGTAGAATATAAATAATACCGTATCACAGATAGTGATTGCAAGTGTTGCTACAAATAGAAATAATCGGTAATAGACAGACACGTGAGATAAATCACGTTCAAATGTTTATGTAGATATAAATGTTGTTATACAGTTTTTTTATTTATGTTCGCATCTGAATTGACTTGCCTTTTAATTGTTTGTATGTCACAAATATTACAATATAGATACATAATACAGTAATGTCTCAATGAGTGCGACGAATATCGGGTGCGCTTCGGAGCATTCGTGGCAAGGCGAAAAGGTTTTCAGCCCCTTATAAATCTGCTTCTTGCACGTAGCCGAGCCTCTGATTAATTTTTGTTTACTCCGTTTTAATTGGTTCCAGAAGGGGAGACCCCCAGTGATGGGAACAACGTGGTTGCTGGTGTCGTATTCATCGAGGAATCACTGTACATAGTATGCGTACATCGATAGCACCAATGTTTTCTATGACGTTCGATTACGTTGCCATTTTCTCTTTCTCGTATTTTAACCAATTTTATTTTGACTGCCATTTCGAGTTTATAATTATTAAAATTACAATTTTCTTTGTCTTTAAAGAGAGGGTTACTTTTATGTTCATTACAATTATCTAATATCAATATAATTTTTTGATGGCATTGATTTTTTTTAGATGATATATTACTTTAGATATTTACGAGCAATTTTCACGTTACACTTATGGAGTGTAAACAAAACAAAACGTAATACAGTACCTTCTGAACGCATTTCAATTCGGTTTCTAAGTCACGTATCCTCACGGTGGCTTGTGCCAACTGTTCTTGCAGCTGACGCGCGTGATTCTGATTTTTCGAATTACGATTCTTCGTGGACACTGAATCCCAGAAAAATACTTCGTCGTCGTCATCCTGATTGCTGCCATTCTGTAACAAAAAGTAGTCACAATGTGTAGTGTTTCGATAAAAAGGAACCTGTTACTTTTTAACATAAAAAGGTCAACAAATAACAATTGTCCTTATACTGACGGTGTGTATTGTATAAATACATAAACGCGTATGTAGTTATCCATGAAAGTAAAAATACATTGGGCGTAACAATGACTCCATACTTTTCGAGGATGGGATCTATCGTACATATTTAGGGAATAGAATCCTGGGATCCTGTGATCCTGACTGTTTTTTGGTTTCCAAAAATCCCGAGATTTTATGTAGATAACTAATCCCAGGGATTTCAGGATTTAAAAAAAAAGGGAATTACTTTATAAACGACTCAAAAATATAAAAATAAAAAGAACATATACACATAAACATTTCACAATAATAAGGACAATAATAATGATCTTATTATTTAATTATCATTAAAGGAATTACACAAGTTACATTCGAATTAACATTACTATTCGCATGATCATTTTTATTATTATTGTCCTTATTATTATGAATCGACTATGTTTTTTTATTCTGTTTATTTTCATATTTCTCAGTTGTTTATAAAATAATTTACATTTTTCAAGAATCTCAAAATTCGTGGGATTAGTTATATCAAATCTCGGGATTTTTGGAATCCAGAAAACAACCGTGATCGCGAGATCTTGGGATTGCATTCCCTAATCCCATCGACCAGTTCATCTCACCACCAAAAGTGTCAACAAATATTATCCACCGATCGAAAATCCGTGGATAAGCTGCTGGGTATGTCTTTATTGACAATAGTTACTAGCATCTTTTAACAGGAACTCGTGAAATGATCCCGCGGCTATATTTAGATCGGCATCGATTCGGTAGCGGAGTTCTCTGTTTCCATGGGCACGTGAATCGTGCCACGTTGTGTTCCTTCGAGGCCTCCTGGCTTAGCTGAGGCAGGATGCGAGCAACGAGCAACCGTATGATTACTAACTTAGTATTGTTATGCACGTTTACATAAGAGTCTTGTGTTGTCGACGATGCACCTACTATGGCGTTTGTTCGACCGCACGTCACCGGCGAAAAGGAAGAAAAAAAAAGGGGAAAAAAATAAAAGTAGGGACGTTCGGTGGAAGATAGGTGGGGGGCAAACGCACATCACTTATGCAATCGAAATTACAGCTGCTCGCGGGGTCTTCGAGGAGGAGAAAGAAAATCGTATTGAAGGCACGCCGCGGCATATTCGGTTTTCAAATTGCCCTCCCACCCCTCCCCTTCCCGCAGCCCGTGTGTGTGTCCGATTGGAAAGGATGTCAAGATTTTACGGTGAATTGAGACCTTATAAAAGCCTTGTCATTTCATAGGAATTACCTGGATTATGTAACAAGCGCGCGAGCGGACTCTCTCACGTGTTCCATGCGTATTTGCACGTTGTTTTTATCTGTTCAAAGGCCGCTCGAGTTGCAACGAGTACCGGCTTTGTCGGGACAATGCGATCCGTCGCGTCGATTCCGTGCGCCGAGGTAATTTCGTACTGAAACTGGAGGAGAGGGAACGGTTAAAAATGTAATTACGGTGGGATCCCCCCACCCCCCGTATAACACGGGTTTATTGTATAACATGGATTGGTATGACACGACGGACAGATTGTGGCGATATGTCGTGTAGCATGGTGAAATAAGACTACTATAACACGGTAGATAAGTGTACATTTTCACGTTCTAATTGAAACTACAGTGAATCCTCGATGAGTGTTCGAAGGTCTCCAATGGCAGTGACAAGAAGAGGTTCCCAGGTGTAACGCTGTCTTTTTGACGAGGTTTAGCACAGTGATAGAACTTGGAATTCTGAGGTCAATATATTTGTTCGAGCTGCGTGCATCTTTTTGAAACAACATTCAAAGTCCATGATCAAAGATTCTACAGTCGCGTATTATCTCCAAAATGACATTTTCATTCGACTTTTTTAATTATTTTTAGAATAGTCCAGCGTGGAAGAAGGGAGTAAGAACCCCATTTGTTTCGAAAACATGGAAACATTGAATGTGTTCGGGTCACTAGAGAAATAGCTTCGTCTCTGTCAATCGATTCTATGGTCCCTGCATTATCATAATTCTGTACAAATTATTCAATGAGCCGTTGTTGTAGTCACGTAGCACCCCGACAAAAGACTACAAAACGCTTTTTAATCTACCATAAGCTTCCTCCGCCCGGGGCGAGGTGAGGGAGATTCACCTTTCGACCGGGCTTTATGCTGTCCAAAGTTCTTTCATCTAAAAGTCAATTCACAGAATATTTCCCGTTTTGACCCGCATAATGTCAGCACCGGCGACAACCTTACAGCTGCGCCCTGACAATGGTGCACTCTTCAACGCTCGGATTCCGTGTATCGTGTCATTGATCGCGCGGTAGGAATGCTTTCGAAATTATGTAAAAATTCGTGTAACGTTCGAAAGCCAGTGAATAGACGTCGAAATTGAATAACAAATTAGGAAGAATAATTGTGTCGATTTGAATCCACTCTTTGGAAAAATTATGCGTTAAAATAATTAACCCTCATCCGTCCTCTTGTATCGATTTGACATATTTTTCTCCTAACAAATGATGCTATTCTATTATGTGTGGATAAATTCAACCGAGATGACTGTTATTTTAAAGAATTCGCAAACTTAACTATTCGTTGTATTCATTTTTTTTACCACTGTTTACACAGAGGAACAAATTAAATTTGGAAAATGAGGTACGGATGAGGGTTAACTAAACAATGTACTCCAATTAAATAGGATACATCTAAACGTATGCATTTCGTTTAAACTAATCGAAATATACGAAATTCTCCTGATCACTAAAATTACAATGCAATAGTGATTTTAGGTCATTTAGGTAAGTATCTGAAATAAATTAACTAATAGTATCTGAAACACGATAGAATATATCTGAGTATCTGAAAACCATCAATAACGAATTGTAATGAGCTAATATTCCTATTTTCAATAATTAATTATTACAGTAAATTGTTTTTAAATACAGAAGCTATACACTATCGAAGATATACGCAGTTATCTTTTCTAAGATGTCGAAAGAATTCTATAAAAATGTTAATGCTTCGAATATTTACATCCTATTTTGGGTCACTTGCGACCCCACAGTGTCACATACGCTCAAAAAATGCAACAGTATCGTACCACAGTTAAGTATCTATAAAATATTTGCATGAGCATCCGTAGCATAGTAATGTACAGAGTGTTCCCGCTTAAAACAGGCCACATAAATATCTTGTCTATCTGTGATTATACTAGAAATATTTTTTACGTAATTTAAATGGTTTCAAGAGACGAATCAGATGGCGGCAAAAATTGTTTATGAGTGTCTTTTTGTAACGTTATTTTCAAGGTCACCCATGTTTTTTTACGTAAATGCATATAATTTTTCTTGCTGGATGTTATCACATTATTATGCATTTATCCATGTATAATAGTATGACCTTGAAATGACTTTGGACGTTAAAAATTTTAAACTTATAAAAAATTTTAAATTCACTTTTTATAATTTTTCCACCATCTGACGCGACTCGCGAAACCATTTTAATTACGTTAAAAATATTTCTCGTATGATCCCAGATAGGGAAGATATTTAGGTGGCTATTGTTTTAAACGGAACACCCTGTAAATTTCGGGTCTCGGATTAAATCTGTCGAAGTATTTCGAACTTCTCTCCGATTTTCGTGTGTCCTCCGAAAAACGAAATTATCGAGGATCGGGTCAAAAGATCACTTTATCTCGGCCAGAATCGATCCGAGTATACGTCGAACGCATAAAGCGCGTGCATCGATTAGCATATTGACGGTGTGCACGGATATCGGTTCGAAAGCTTTTTCGGTATCGGTCGCATATCTGAGAGGTATTCCAAGTGGATGATATGCAACGGGGCGACACTCGAGTCGCTTAGCACATCCATCAAGGGATTGACTTTCCGTTCATTTGTCTCTTTCAAGCTGTCAAAATAAAAAAATGACGGAGACATTAGGAATTCGATCCCGTGTCGGTTTTGTGTGTTTCAAGCTTCTGCAAATTTCATCAGACGACCAAGAGTCATATTGGGCCCTTTTTGACGAGCCTTGATATTTTCAAGGTTTCATTTTGTGCAGCTCGAATTTGCAGAGAGCGTCCCACAAATTTATTGACGCGTCGTATTGTATGTATCCTTTGTAGATTCGTGACTTTGAATCTACGGAATCTTGACGTACGATTTATAATATTGAGTGTAGTATATGGAAAAGTAATTACTGAACAATTGCTGCGGTATCATCCCCTCGAAGTAATCCTCTATTTTTTTGTAACTTTTTTTATGTTTCTGGTAAAAATTGAATCGCTCGTCAATAAAATAAAGTAAAATCATCGTATGTACTACCGTAAATATGAAGGTCATTACTTCTGGATACGTTTTATCCACTTTCTGCATTTTTTTGGTATCTTGTACAAACATTTTTTTCACAAAATCAGGAACCGATAGTCAGTTTGAGAATATTTAAAACATGTTTTAAAATATATTTTTTATCAACAATGTATTTGCTCACGATAAATAACGAATTAGTAGTGACAATAATATTTTCTAATATTTGGATGTCATTTAAAGAAGTTTTGTACTGCCGATCGGCAAGAAATATTTCAGATATTGTTATAAAGTAGACATCTACTATAGTAGACAGAGACAGGTAGCGGGTTAATAGATACACGAACAAAATAAATAAATTTATTCACTTGATTGAAGTACCAAAATTTTGAGTCTGATTTGATATAAGATCAAAGGTATTTTTTACTAATAACCATTTAAACTTGTACGAAGTGCTTTTGTCATTTTAACTTCTAGATTGCGTTAAAAATAACGAATTCCGATTCTTCAGAAAAGATACCTAAACATTTTAATTCTAAAAGATAATAGAAGTAGTACTACATGAATCCCTTTTGATCTGTTAGCTTGCCCTAACAGCGTTTCCTCGCTGCTATTTAATTAAAATTCAGA